GGGGGGGGGGAGGGGTTAAGTATTTTCCTGACAAAAATGCAGATTTTAATATGCAAAATATTTAAAAAACTTTTTCTAAGGCCCCTTTCACATGGGCTGATCAGGAAGAGATCTGTGCACGGATCCCCTCCTGATCGGAGCGGTACAGATTGGATGTCACTGCTTGCGATGAAGGAAAGAACGTCTGGTGGATCCCATTTGAATAATGGGGAGTCGGATGTAAGTGGACACGTGTCAGATTACCCCCACTGCGGCACGATCAGGTCCAGCGAAACGGAACTCTGTTCTACCGTATTTGTTTTTACGGACCTGACTGGAGTCAGTGGTAACTGAGTGTAAACGGACTAATGTCCGTTTAGACCCAGCTGCCCATAAACAAGCATTATGCATCCTATCGGGTACGCCTGAAAAACTGACAGGCTGACCCGATTAGGCCACCTGTGTAAAAGAGGCCTTAGGTGAAACTTCAGCTTTAACGTTTATAAAAGCCAATGCTGTTTTTGTTTTGATTAGAGTAAGAAATGGATAAAACCTCTTATCAGTTTGTTTGTTTTTTTTAAAATGTATTTTGTTGCCATCTGTGTCCTATTCAGAAGGTTTCCCTTTATTTCCTGTGCTATAGACAGAACAGGACAGTGAGAGAAGTTCTCTCCAAGCTGAGGTAAATCCATTGTGAGACAGTTGTTCAGTCCTGTGCCTTCAGAGATTTAGCTGTGGTGGTTCAATGTGGATTTCCTGATTTTACATATCTGGTATCCATTCACTCGACACAACCTCATCTTTTATTTTGTTAAACAAATTGGGGATTAAATTGTGTTTGTATGCACTAACATTCATGTTAGTGTATAGTGGTTAGTCTGCAGAGCAGGTATGTAAAAGTGTCTTCTGCACATACCCTTCGAGGGTCAAGGTATCTTCAGAGCAATATTGGACACCCTCATTAAGGATGTCACTGGGGATAAGAATACTGGCCTACCCCAGCGGTAGAAGCATAGACCTCAAGCTGGAAAGACTAAACAGAGAGGTAGAAAGAATTCTGGCCTGGTTGGAACTTAAGGTTCGAGCCTTGTCTGTCCTTTTTATTCCAGCCATGGACAGTTGGCAGGTGGACTTCTTCAACCAGGTTCAATAAACTGAATAGGTTTGTCTCCAGGTACAGAGAACCTCTGGCAGAAGCAGTGGGTACTCTGATGGTTTTGTGGTATCCGTACAGCCTGATGTATGCCTTTCTTCCACTGAAACCCCTTTCTTATCTGCTCCCCAGGATTGGGATGGAGGGTATTACAGTGATTGTCCCTTTGAACCTATTAAGAATATTCACCTTTCTAAGTTTTCTCATAAGGTTGCTTTCCTTGTATCCTTCATCTCTCCGAGTCATATGTCTGGAACTGGTGGCCTTGTCTTGTAGAGTCTTTTTTATACTTATATAGAGACAAGGTAGTAGCCTCTTTCCTTTCTAAGGTGGTTTCAGCCTTGAACCTCAGCCAGGACATTGTACTTCCATCCATCTGTCCAGCTCCTGTTCATCAGAAAGAGATTTCCCTTCATTGTCTGAATGTAGTTTGAGCTGTGCATGTTTACCTCACTTCCGTTAGGAAGACAGACTGTTTATCATCCCAAATGGTCCCTGCAGATGCCAACCAGTGTCTCACTTCACCATTTCTTGGTGGCTCAGACAGATTATTGCTGGGCATTGTATATGTTCAAGCCTATGGTCTCAAGGATCAGGTTCCACCTTTTCTTGTTGATGCACAGTCTGCGAGTGCTTCTTGGGATTTTCAGCATCAGACAACTGTTTCCCAGATTTGTAAGGCTGCCACCTGGTCTTCTATTCACACGTTGTCTAAGTTTTAGCAGGTAAATATGTTGTTCTCACCTGATGCCAGCTTTGGGGTAAGGTCCTTCAGACAGTTTTTTGAGCTGCAAGTAGTCCCCATTTTTTTCTATTGTTCTTTAATGGGCCTGTTAGCATTTTGTTTGCTGTGTTGTCCACCCCTCAGCTGGACTGCTTTTGGACATCCCAAATATTTCCAAATCCCATGTCTCTCAACGAGAAAGAAAATAGTTTTTTGTACTCAATGTAAAATCCTTTTCTTGAAGTTTATGGAGTTTCATCTCTGTGTTTGACCTTGCTCTCAGCCTGCTTTGTTACAAAACTTAGCCGTCCTGGGAGTGGTGGGGTTATACCAAACAGGTCAGAGCTTTTTGTTTGCCGGTGTCCCAATCCTCTTGTAGGCAGCAGTATAACCTAAATGTCTCTGAAACTGTGTCCCTCAATTAACTCCAAGAAAAGCGTTTTACGCATATTTTTCTGTGTATTTAACTGCAATTTCTTAAGTTGGTGACAGGATCTCTTTAAGGACCTGTTCACATCAGTGTGTGCCTTGCCTTAAGGCAACCCGCTCATTCTGAATGAGCTGCCAGCGTATAATAATATATATATAAACCAGAAATGCACCATTTTGTTATGCAGTATGGAATGGGTCAACTGTATTTTGATCCCCTAAAACACAAATGCATTGTGATGAGCTGGTTAGGTGTTTTAGGGTGCCAGTTGAAAAGAATTCCCCCGCACTGTAAATCAGGTGTTGCGGCAGCGTGTGCAAGTGTTTAGAATATTTATTCTCAGTGTGTTGCCCACCCCTCAGTTGGACTGCTTTTAGACATCCCAAATATTTTCAAATCCCATGTCTCCCATTGTTGATCATTACCTGCCAGGAGCTCCTATAGGCATGCCACCATGCACTATGCATTGAAGTCTGTGGAACCGCCATCTCTGTATAAATAAATAAGAACACATATCTGCTGCAGTGACCCTGTATGTCACAGTCGGCTGTTTTTACACTACTCATCACATTAATGCCTCCCTCTAGTTCGCGAGCGCTTTAAGATCTCTTAAATACACGGGCCCAGAAGATAACCTGCATGAGAACTTTGTCATGGAGGAGAGGGATCATGTAATTTTCATCAAAATAATAGCATTGATTGCATTTTTCACCTCCCTCCCGCTCAGGCAGAGTTCACCGAGGTCACAGAAAGCCTGAAGCTGCAGAGGAGAGATTGTGTCCTCTCTGTCTGCCCTAATTGGGATAGAGGAACTTTAATGGGTTTGCGGAGTAACATTTCTCTGTTAATTAGGAGACTCATTTTTCTCTTTCCCTGTTTCGGGTACAAACTTCACACGAGCGCCTTGACGTGACTCGAGTGTATGTTGTCTGCAGGTCGCTAAGTGCATGCGTATAATACTTTTAGTTGTAGGAATCCGTAAGCAAGTAAACAAGTTTTCGGCTTTGTTGGTACATGTATCCAGTGCTGCATTGTAGTCTTCCACCGCCAAGCTTTGATTACCCACCATTTGAAGTCAGTATATATATTTTGGTGACAAAAAAGAAGCTTAAGGTGCATCATAGAGTAATCAATCAACAGAAATGACCAGAAGAGCAGGTCAGAAGGTGGTATGGGGCAAGCCTAAAGGTCATGCACTAGGGCTGCGGAACACAATACTAGATATTACTATATTACCTTGTGCAAATAGCACATTACTGTGTTGTATATCAGCGTTTCTCAACCTTATTTCAGTCACGGCACCCTTTAAAAGTGTGCAAAATCTCGAGGCACCCCAGTCTAAAATGTCATTGATCTCAAGGGAGGCTCCACGCAAGACTCACCTCAGTCTGGATTCCCCCCAGGAGGCGAGTCATGACGTGCTGCCCGGCTTCCTGATTGGTTAGGAATCCCGGCCCTCTAGCAACAAGTGAAGCTGGCTTCCTAGCCAATCAGGGAGGCGGGTTATACCCCACCGCCCGGCTTCCTGATTGGAAAGGAAGACGGCTCCATGCTCCCTCGGCACTGCCTGTCAGAGGGAGATGTTCCTCTGACCGAAAGTTCCGGTATCAAAGGTAAGTATTGGAGCATTTGGGTGAGTACTCAGTATCTCGGTATCCTTTTCTTGTTGTTTTGGCTTTGTGAATTGACCCTACGTTCCTTTAAAAACAAAGAACATTTAGAATTCTGTAAATACCTTTTACGAGCCGCCCAGCACAGCTAAATCAGGTCATTGCTTCATGTGGAAGAACTTCTGCTCACAGGGAAAATTGTTCACGTTGTGTTGCGTCTTCTCTCCACTTGTCATTAAGTTTTCACACCTCTCTCTCCTCCTCCAGGTACAGGATAAATTTAGATTGGATCTGTCTGACGAGGAAGCTGTTCATTACATGCAGACGCTCATCGATGACAGCGTCAACGCTCTCTTTGCCGCAGTGGTTGAACAGATACACAAGTTCGCTCAGGTAGGAGATTGCCCTGCGCCGGCCATTATTCAACATTCATTACTCCCTTCCTCCTCCCGATAACCTGACAGAGATAGATCGGCTGCCTCTCTGTCAGTCCCCGCACAGTGCTGAGCTTCCTTTTGCTCCATTTACATAACCGCTTTATAGTATATGGCTGAGGAGGTGATATCTGATGCCTGACCAACTGATGTGCCAGCAAGCACTTCAAGAAAGGCACTTTTGGGTAAGGAATGTCATCTTAGCCATCATGCATACACAAGCATCAGTCTTTGATAAACTGTATTTAAAGCCAATTTTAACCATGGCCGGACAGCACCCTTATAAGAGCGGGAGGGCGTCTTAAGACGTCCTGCCCCCCCCCCGCTTGTGTGCGGCGCTCAGCGCGCACACAAGTGGATAAACTGTTAGAAATGTAAACAGCCAGCGATGGCTGTTTACATTCAAGGGATCAGGCGTTCGCTGTGCCCGGTGCGGCTGGGACCGGCACGGCAACGCTGTCAGTGGAGATCAAAGGGAGCTCAGTACACGATCTCCCTTTGACCTCCTCTCCTGTCCCCGAATGCAGGAAGTGATTATATTACATCATTTCTGCATTCCTCTGTCACTCTCCAGTACAGATGCTGGAGAGAAGCTGGTGAAGCAGTTATCTAGATCTTTAGTTATCACTAGAGGCATTCCCAGCAGGCGAAAGGATGTCCTGATTCCTCTATATAGATCTTTAGTTATCACTAGAGGGATCCCAAGCAGGAGGAAGGAGGTCCTGATTCCTCTATATAAACTTTAGTTATCACTAGAGGGATCCCAAGCAGGAGGAAGGAGGTCCTGATTCCTCTATATAGATCTTTAGTTATCACTAGACAGATCCCCAGCAGGAGGAAGGAGGCCCAGATTTCTCTATGTAGATCTTTAGTTATCACTAGAGGGATCCCCGGCAGGAGGAAGGAGGCCCAGATTCCTCTATATAGATCTTTAGGTATCACTAGAGGGATCCCCAGCAGGAGGAAGGAGGTCCTGATTCCCCTATATAGATCTTTAGTTATCACTAGAGGGATCCCCAGCAGGAGGAAGGAGGTCCGGATTCCTCTATATAGATCTTTAGTTATCACTAGAGGGATCCCCAGCAGGAGGAAGGAGGTCCTGATTCCTCTATATAGATCTTTAGTTATCACTAGAGGGATCCCCAGCAGGAGGAAGGAGGTCCTGATTCCTCTATATAGATCTTTAGTTATCACTAGAGGGATCCCCAGCAGGAGGAAAGAGGTCCTGATTCTGCCATGCAAATCTTTCCTTGACATGTAAAGCAATGACTTTCATGGCTCCGCCCTTTGTCCTTGTGCTGTCTGACAGTGGTGTCTGTATATTTTCTGAGGTTAGATGTTTTATCTCTGAATTTAAATTTGTGGCAGAAGGTCAGACTGAATGTATTTATTTTTATGTTTCCCTTTCACCCTGTCCCTTGACAGTGAGGCCACCGATAGACAGGCAGTTATCTCCCCGAGAACAGGCGCCATATCTGCCCCTCCTCCAGCTAGTTTCTTGAATGCTTTGTAGATGATGACCCTGCAGTACTTGGTAGTCACTTGGTAGGAAATATGCCCCATATGGGCCACCAATTACCCCCCCCCCCCCACGATGGTACAAGTTAAAGAAAACATGACATGGTTTTTACTCAGTGAGAAAATGGCTGTGACCCTTACAACTGAACTCCTGGTATAAAAATGTTGATTCAAATATATTCCTCAATAGCCACACAGCATATACATCCAGTAATTACCTTTCTAAAGGTGTAGTGACATCTCATCCTCACTGGACTGTACGTAGTCTGTACAGAGGGCAGAACGGCGGGAGGGACCCAGAAGGTCTGAACCACTACTGAAAACTAAAGGAGGGGGCGGAGACAAGACCAGTCACCCTGCACAAGAAGAGAGAGCAGCAGTGACCGGTCTTTATTACAGGAGGGGGGCAGAGACAAGACCAGTCACCCTGCACGAGGGGAGAGAGAGAGCGGCAGTGAGCGGTCTTTATTGCAGGAGGGGGCGGAGACAAGACTAATCACCCTGCACAAGGAAAGAGAGCAGCAGTGACCGGTCTTTATTACAGGAGGGGGGCAGAGACAAGACCAGTCACCCTGCACGAGGGGAGAGAGAGAGCGGCAGTGAGCGGTCTTTATTGCAGGAGGGGGCGGAGACAAGACTAATCACCCTGTACAAGGAAAAAGAGCAGCAGTAAGCAGTCTTTATTACAGGAGGGGGCGGAGACAAGACTAATCACCCTGCACAAGGAAAGAGAGCAGCAGTGACCGGTCTTTATTACAGGAGGGGGTGGAGACAAGACCATTCACCCTGCACAAGAAGAGAGGGCAGCAGTGACCAGGAAGCTCAAAGTCTCACACTGGATTACTGCACAGAACTGGAACAAATACACAAAGCTCACCGAGATTCAGGGAGGAGTACACATGTTTCTTGCATGAGGAAAATACGTCATTGCTATTTTTATATGAGTTTACAAAGGCATTTGGTGCACACAAAGTGGATTTATATCCTTCATGGCTATTGATATATAATTATATATTTAAATACATTTTCTGTGCCCGGAGTTTATCTTGAAAATAAAATAAAATGGTTCTGACTTCATTTCCGTAACAAAAATAATCAGCCCGTAATTGATCAGGAATAACAAGAAAACTATAAGAATACGGTGTGTGGGATTGTTTTGATTTGCAGTTATTTTTTAGAAAGCGTTTGCTTTCCTTCATTTAAGCCCTGAGCGGCAGCTTAACGAGACGGTAAATAAGAGGCGTAGACCGCATCTCGGATCCGTGCGCGATTTAAGGAGTTTTATTTTTTTCCTGTGCCGACAGTTTAATGATTTGTTTGGTTGTAATTATTAGAAGCCGAGAAGAAACCTCGTCAGCAGCTAATTAGATTTTTTTTTTTCCTTTGTGTTGTTGGTTTAATTAGAGTAAATGTGAATTCTCTGTAATGATGAGCCGTCAGCGGGAGAATATTTATAGAAAGACTCAACTTGATATCCGATTTGCATAGAGCGTCTTCTTTTTTTGGGAAATGGCGTGTTCTGATTATTGGTTGGCTTTGCCAAAAACTAAACTCCGATCAACTACATAATCCCTGCTGGGCAAAGTAACAGGTTCAGCTCAATGCATGCGGCACTTCAGCAGGAGTCACAGAAAGTGCATATGACATCCACGATGACATCATAACACTAAAGGGGTCATTCACAAAGCTAGCCGAAGGATCAGCCATAGTCGAACCGAAGGGCTGCTGTACGGGCTATTCACTATAGCCGATATATCGGTGAATCCCTAGTCTGGATCATAGTGGGCCACACATGGAGCAATGATGGGCTGCGTATTGGGCATCAATGGTCTAAACCAGGGCTAGGCAAACTATCCCTCCATCATGCATCTGCTTCTGGGAGTCATGCCTGTGGCTATCAGAATCTCATAATGGCTTATGTGACTTGTAGTTCCAAAACAGCTGGAGTGCCAAGGTTGCCTACCCCTGGTTAAATGCCTCCCTTCCCAGCTGCACATACCTTCCCTCAAAATGTTTACACCGCGTCAAGTTTCTGATGTGAAAGATAGGGACTCTGAGGTGAAGGGGTGCTTGTGATATGAAGAGAGTCTCCTAATGTGAGCAGGGGGGCTCTGATGTGAAGGGGCACTTTTGATATGAAGAGGGTCTCCTTATGACGGCCGGGGGGGGGGGCTTTGATGTGAAAGGATGACCTCCATTTGGGTTCTTGCATGGGGTCTCCCCTTAAAAAAAGGGATGCACCGCTATATCGGCCGCCGAAACATATCAGCCGAAAATGGCACTTTTGGCATAATGCTGAAAGTTAAATGTTCCTGCCGATACATCGGCGCATCCATGATTTCTTTCCTCCCCGCTGGGCGCAGCTCTATGTCCCATAGGGGAGAAGAGAGAGTGACAGCCGGCCATGCGCTGCAGTGGAGAGCGCTGTGAGCGTCCGGCGTCTCCTCCCACACTGCTCTGCCACCTATCACAGTGCGCCAGAGCGGTGTAGGGGCGGAGACTGCGCTGTCACAGGAGGCTGGGCTTTCCTCCCTACACCGCTCGATCAGCCTCCTGTGACAGCGTGTCAGAGAGGAGAGCGGGTACACACACGATCAGTGATCAGTGAATGCCGAGTGTGTGTAGATAATTGAGGATATGGTATGTTAACTATATCCTCAATTATGAATGAATGGGAGTGATCTACATCACCTCCTGTTCATTCATAATTGTAGTTATAGTTTTCGTCCTGACATTTTTTTTTATTTCGGTTTCGGTTTTAAAATTTCCATTTCTGTGCACCTCTACTTAAAATCCATACCAGACCCCTATCTGGGATAAGGGTCTGGTATGAATTTTGGAGGGGCCCCAGTTTCATTTTTTACATTTAAGACTGGGAAACCTTAAGATCTTGTTTACTTTTAAAGGGTGAGGGTACCATGGCGGAAAAAAGTAACTGCTCTATACCAGCGGTTGGCAACCTCTGGGCCTCCATCTGTTGCTGGACTACAGATCCCATGAGGCATTGCAAGACTCTGACAACCACCGGCATGACTCCGAGTCAGATGTATAATGGGATTTGTGGTTGCACCACAGCTGGAGGGCTAGACGCTTGATGCCCAATATGCAGCCTGCCATTGCTCCACGTGTAGCCCACTATGGTCCAGAAAGAGGAACGAGCAGCTTTGCCGGATCTCAGAAGGGTTTAGTGCCTGAATCGATCGCTGGCTCCAGACTGCTTTTCTCCAATTCTACTAGAGATTGCTCCATAGCAGCACAGTGCAACACAATACTTTGACATGGCATTTAACCCTTTTGCTGCCATTGCCATATCCCTTACGCTGGCTGCGGGCCCCTGTGAACAGACTCCCGGTGGCTATGTTTATCTGTGTAATGCTGACTAAGGGCTAGCCCCACACTGCAAAGGTTAAAGTAGAACTATGAGGTGAGTGCTTTTCACTC